CCTACTGGTAATTCTTCACTCTAACTGGAGTTTAGATCAGGGTAACAGGGTTTTTTGCAGCACTGGAATACACTAGAAAGAATTAGGGACTTCATGGATAGTATGAAAGATGAGGGTATTCTCCAGAAGGACACTGTAGTAAGGCTCTAGTGAATTAAATTTGCCTGTAGTGGGCATATGCAAAAATGGCTGGGACAAAATTCCTCTGACAAATATAAATCCATTTAGTACGATGCATTATACATTAGTGCATATTCGGTCAAAGTGGTACAGTGCATTTCATATCCTGAGAGGAAATAACCTCACTAATCTACAAATACTGTAAGAAGCACTTAGTATTTTGGGTTAAAAATGCTGTGTTTTACATTTTTGTATTATTCTGATGTCAAAGGATACAAATTATAATTATTGGCATTATTATTCAGAGGTGCTGTAGCTAGTGACTTTTGCATCTGAGTTTCACTTCCTTCATGTCTACCACAGTGACTTGCTGGTATGTGACAAAGGAAATCTTTATATCGGTACTGTCTGGCAAGTTTAGAACTGTTTTCAGGAATAAGAAAACTGGCTCAATAAATCAGATACTTGCATGTCTTTAAAGCGTTTATTTTATTGTTTCCTCTAAGCTTTCACTCTCTAACAGCTTTGAAGAAAGCATATAGATTTCAGCATGGTATTACGATAAATCTTCTCGAGGAGGGGCAAGCATTAACATTTGCGTCGGTTCTTTTTCATCTTAATCCAACCTTAGTTAATAATCAGAAAATTCTACATGGTGGGTAAGAAGATGTAATTAACCCTTTGACCCCAGAATCTTAATTGGCGCCTGTTGAAAACAGTGGGGCAGTTTAAAAAAAAAAATAAAAAAAATAAAATTAAAAAGTAGCCTGTGGTGATTGAAACAGCATAATACATAATGATTTTCTGAAATCAAAAGTACTAGGGAACTTCAACTTTAATCACATTTCGCATAAAACCAGCAAGTGTAGTTTTAAACAAGATGTTGCTAGTCTTCCTTAAATCGGATTGTGCTCATAATTGGCATTTAGTGTCACTCTAACCCTTTCTCAGGTGCCATATGAGATGGTATAGGACTTTTTTTATGACAGTAAACTTCATTTATAAAAATAAAAATAAATTAACTCAAGGATATTTTCATAACAGAAGACACTCTACCTTTATATTCACGGCATCCGCTTCAATGAAAATGGGAAATTTTATGAAAAGTAGTTACCTTTGCAGGCCGTATTTCTATATTATAGTTAATTATAACTGTGGAACATCTGAAACAGGAATCCAGTCTGCCTTTGAACTACACTGAACCTGTTCACAAAGTTGCAATGTAAATTATACTGTGGCTGTCATTTAAAAAAAAAAATAATTAAAAAATGGAAGTTTACTGTATCTAGTACCCTTCGAGCATTTATTTTGGCCCTAGTTATACGGGTGCGTAACAGTAATACTTGCAGAGATCTGTCATGAAAACAAAATTGTTTGCAAATAGTTAGTATACAATAGTATCACATGCTCTTCTTTAGTGTTATCACATAACCCCTGTTATGTTCCCTGCTGCTTCCTCTAAAGCCTGCTGCTCTCTCGGCATGCACAAAGGACACACGCTTTATGAAAAATTGAAAAATTTCAACACGCATTGCTTAAATAATAAATATTCATAAATAATACCTATGAATAACGAATGAGACAGTCCTTCAGAACTACTGTTTGACCTGTATAAGGAACAACAACATTGTCACAGAAGTGGTCCATCTCAGCCGTTTCATACTGGTGGGAGGGACTGTCTTGCATTGGAAGGTGGCTATTTCTCCCTTATTTTTATTGTCATTTTTCTTAGGCATTAGGACTTGCGCTTAGAACTTGGGGCCTTTGTTCTAATGTCTTTTATTTTGGGCATGGAATAGTCAGCTGTTCCATTAGCTATTAATCAGTGGCTTTTTCAAAATACAATTTAAAAAAATGCTGAATTCAGTATTTTGTACTCAAGTTCTGACTTCAGGGAGGTGGGAAGGGAAATGGAGAAAAAAGGGCTGACCATGATGTAGTAGTCTTAGTTGGTATAAATAACTAATTTCAAAGCATGGGAAGTGACTAATCACACAAGAAGCCACAGAAGTTGTGAGTATGCTGCACTGGCCTTCCAGTCTGTCAGTAGTGCCTCCTCAGTACCTACCTTGTAAAGCTAGGAGTCAAAACTATGGAATAGTCTCCTGGAAAGGAAGAGAAGAAAAGGGTTAAATATTGAAACTATTAGGTGAAAGTAGTGAAGGAGAGTCAATGGCATTGAAAAGTAACAAGTGCATAAGATGCCTAACACTTTTCACTCAAAGTCTTCTCTCAGTTGCTGAAGACTTCCCAAACTTCAGCCATGGAGGCTGAAATTTCTTTGCACAGAGATAGTTTTATTTATATTTTTCAGGAAAACTGGTTGCAGCTGATTCCTCAAAAACAGTGGGGAAGACATTTCTGCCTAATCAACATTACAAGCTTTCTTCAAACTTTCCTTTCATAAAGAAGCTTGAATTCCTAAATAAAATAGCATGTAGAAAAGAAGCAGGAGAACCATCAGTGGCTTAGTGAATTATTTTTTGCTGTTCTTACTAACCTCTCTGCATATATCGTAGATAATTACACAGTAATGCAGTGTACTGAACAAAGCATATCATAAATGTTCTGTAACTCGAGTAAAGGAGGAAGGGGATCACACTAAAAGCCTGGATATGTAAAAAAGTGAGAAGAAGAAAGCTGTTTCTGTATGATAGACCTTGTGAAACTTCTTTCCTCAGGATACCAGTAAGCCAAGAACGTAACAGGATTCCAAAAAAACCCCTCCACTCTTGACTACAGTAGTTATAAAAAATAATTCTGAGGAATATCCAATATCATGCCAAGTAGTAACAACCTGAGGTTTGAAACCAACTTCTAACAGGCTTTTAATTACCTACATAATCATTATGAATAGTTTAAACACTATTCTGAAGCATACACTGGCAGACCCAGGAAAACCAATCACTGCAGAAAGTCCGTAAGTCTGATGCAGGATGGCAATTTGTTGGTGCTTATGGAGAATGTAGTTCTAGCAAGAACACATATAGATGGCCAGGGAATCAGGGTGACAGTTCTCAGTTTTATTTCTATCAGAGGATTAAAATAATTTTTTGAAGAAAGGCGGGACAGAGCATCAGGAAAACCAAGACCTTTAATGATTTACTCTTCTGATTTTTCTATGATGGGAAATGTGGATAGTAGGGGAAAAAAAATCCAAGCACAAAAACAAACAAACAAACAAAAACTTAATGAAAGAGATCAAATATATAAAGATTTTGATTGTCTTTGCATGGATCTAAGTTTGTACTTCACTGTTCCAAGTTTTCCACCTGTTACCAAAGTTAAAATTCAAGGAACTGATGTTAATAATTTCAAAAGAAATGATGATGATTTATAAGAGGCCGTAAATCACTTGCCTAATATAAATGTTTTTACAAGAAGGAAATCTATGCAGATTTACATTTTTATTAATTCATAAATATAAATTAGAGTCTTTCTTTAATGTGTCTTTTATGAGGGTTTGTTTTTCAATATGTGGTTTATTCTTTTAAGAAAACACAGATTTTTTAATGAATTCCACCACCTACATCAGAGAGGGGTGAACACTTGCCAAAGACAGCTTCTGACCAGCAGCATGTTAGAAATTAATCAAGAAGCAAAATAAAAAAAATTAAAACCCTGAGAAATCAGTGTTCTGTATTTGAAAAGGAGTGAAATTATTACATGACTTTGTCATCAAATATTGCCATTGAATTTGTGTACACCTCTTATTTTTTTTTCTTTCAAAATGAGGTTGATCTCTCAAATGTTGCAGTTCTGTTTTCACTTTACACATACCTTTATCTCAAAGCAGTATTTGGGGTGGGATTTTTAGGGATTGATTTTTGTTCATCCCAAATTTGGGGTGTTTCTTATTTTCTGAGTTGTCTTAGTATTTCTAATTTCTGGAATTCTGTGATTTTACTTATGCAATAGTGAATGCTTGTTTGCCAGTAATCGTAAAAAGCATGAAAGTAAAGGCAAATACAGTGTATGAAAGGCAGTTTCTTCGTAGTGAAGATTTCCTCTTCTTCCTAGAGGTATATTTCTGTCTTGATGTGCAGTGATTTACTCTGTGTGTCAGTTTAGAATACAGTCCTTTGTTTATTAACTGCACTCATGTTTCAAAAGGTATGCATTAATCCCTGTATTGTATTTTGATTTTTGCAATTGCAATGGAAACCACATCCAAAGACTTGAACCTGTCAAAATAAAATCTAATCCAGAGTTTTACACCAAAGGAGCAAAATTCATAACATTTCTATAGACCTAAGCTGTAAACATATTTGACAGTAATCTGCTGATTGGCTTTGTTTGTTGACTCACAAAAGGAAAATGAGGTGTGTGTGTGGCGCACGCGCCCATGTGCGTGTGTGTGTAATCCTTAATTAGTTAACAAATGATTGAGGTCCATAGTGGTTTGATTGATGGTAGGATTTTATTTTCTCTTTTTCAGTTTTTGGAAGTGAAAATTTGCAGCTTTGATTATGGGGATGGGGAGGGATCTCTTGCATACCCTTTAATTGGAAGGTTATTTATTTTCTGATTTCTTCATAAAAAATTGAAGAACACTTTATTTTTCTGTATTTCTCCTGTCATGTGAATGCGATAAATTTTATACAGTATATGGCAGATGTAAACATGACAATAAGTCCTTGAACTTTGGGATATTTTCCTATAGTGTTTGTTAATATGTAGACAAGAGTATAAAGGAATTGTTCTAAGGATTAAATTTAAAAACACTCATAGAAATGATAACTTTTTCCTCAGTTGGTTCTGTGATGTATTTGAATCTATTTCTGTTTAGAATTTAGAGGGTTTTATTAATCTATTATCTTTTTTTTTGTTGTTTTCTTTTGTTTTCTTTTGGTTTTGTTTTTATTTTCCTTACTCTGTAGTCCCTGGATGGATTTGTATTTGCACTAAATCAAGAAGGAAAATTTTTGTACATTTCAGAAACTGTCTCCATCTATTTAGGCCTGTCCCAAGTAAGTACATGCTTTTGATTCTAGACCATAATTGTGTGTGATTCATTCTTCTGTTTATCATTCTTAAAGAACTAATAATTTTGTTTGTGTGTTTTGTGTGGATTATTTAACTAGTTGTTTAAAGTTGCATCTGGTTCATCCTGAAGAATGTATTTATCAGTATTGGGTATTGAGATAAGACAAACTTGTGCCTGAAAACATATTGCCATGAAGGATCATTATTAATTTATTGAGAACAAATGAAGTTTCTTTTCTCAGTTGTTTTGAACTTTAAACCTCTATACCTGATAGGAAAGCGACATACTAATAGTACTTCCCTTGTGTCCTATTACTGGATGTTTATGGAGTACCCTGCATTATCCAGGGAGCTGACACGATGACAGGGAGTCATTTGGAGTCAAGAAATTCTGAAAGAGACCATTAAAATGTCTTGCAGGGAAGGTTCCAACGTGGCACATTTTGCCACTTTCACAAATGCTTACTAAGATGAAAAGACAAATTTATAAAATGTAATAGCTTAATTTTTTTAAATATAATTGCTGACAACAGTTTTTTTAAGATTAAAAGACAGGAGAAAAGTGGGGGGGAGGTTGCTTGTTAATGCTGATTCGCTAATCCTGTAGCATTCAGAAATGTTTGGGAAGGACGGCTTCTTTCTGCCTGTACTTAGAAATGCAGCAGAAAGGTTTTGCATGATGATTTTCTGAGTAGGATAATCTACTTCTATTGCAGTCACCCTGAGGAGAAAAAGAACAACTCAGATAATCTTTATTTCATTTCCTTTAAACTGGAACCCATTCTGCTATGAGGAAGCAACTATTAGCACTGGCAACTGTTAGTTTTGCTGTAGCCCAAAAACAATGAAATGGGAAATTTTAACATTTGGAGAAGAAAAAGACTAATTTTAAATATTATCTGGTGAACATCTGAATAGAAGTTCAGTAACTCCTCAAAGAACATGCAAACAATTGTCTGTAATAAGTTCAATAATTGTTATTTTGTGCTGGCTTTAGCAAACCAAATGATAGAAATGGAAACAGAGCTGGTTCTAATTCTTATCAGTATTCTTTTCTCTCATTAAAGTCCCTTGTTTTGTAATAGACTTTAATCCCTGCCTTAATCTGTTTGGGAGTTAGTATCAAAAATCTCAGATTTTGAATTAGTGCGCCACCATGTTGCTAATACAGTAAAGAATTGGAACTGTAATGTTTATTATTGTCTTATGCTCATATTAATCTGTTTAATGCATAGTATCCAACAAAGTTTAATAGGCCAATAAAGAAGAAGGATGGATAATTAGTTTAAACAGGTAAATGCTAATTAGGAAACTCCTGAAAGGCATCCATTATACACTAGCTTAAAACAAATTTTACAGCCCTGGTTAGTGGTGTAATCCAAATTCTGTCAAGGCAACTGCATTTTCTGTAATTGAGATGTGTATGTTTGCTTTGCATAACAGATGGCTCTGTATGCTTAGACTGATAGCTAGGAAAATAATAATTGCATTATTCTGGCCAAAAGAATATTAGCTCTTGGGTTTTGGCCATTTCAGTCAGTCCTCCTGCCAGCACAGCATATGCACATATATGGATTGGATTTTCAAGGAAATTGATGCATCTGGAATAGTGTGGCCATCTGAAATATCATCTGTTCAAGAAAAATTTGGCTTTAACCCTATGCTGGTCTCTTTCTAAAAGCATTTTCTGTCACTGTCTTTTTGACTATGAGAGATTGTAAATTTTTCCATACTCTGAACTTACACTGTGTTAAGACTTCACGCTTTGTCTTGATCCTCATATACATTTCAAGCAAGGGGTCAGATTAAAAAAAAAAAAAAGAAAAAAAAAAAAAAGCAAGCAATTGTCTTTGCATGGTAGAAGTTTTTGATCTATCAGGAGAATCTGCTCCTTGCCTTCAGTACTGAAAGTATTGATGGAATAACTACCAGAAATCAGAACTGGGACTGTGGATTTTAGTACAATAATAGATGAAATCTACTGAAATCTACTAAAATATCTGTGATTTTCACTGTTCTTCTCTTCTTTCTTTACCAAGTAATTTTATACTTATCAGACCTACTGTATTTATGTTTTTAATACATTGTTCTCTTGATGTAATATTATATAGCTAGGTCTCTTTAATAATAACAAAAGAGATGTGGTAGCTACTTGTTACTAAATCACTAATCAAAGTTTAATTTATTACAAAAATATTAACAAGAATATTTATTAAGCTGTTTCTCAAACTGTACATGGGAATGCTACTGTTTGCACTACAACTATCTTGAAATAGTCATGAATTCTGAATGTCTGAAATAGTGCTGTGTGATATATGTGATGTTGCATTTCTGGCACTGCAGGTAAATGTTGATAGGTTCCTATCCTGATAGTCCCCAACTATGTATTTATATAGAACCTCTTTCAGTTAATTTTTCCCACTATAAGCATTTTTATTTGAATCACCTTAAAGTGCTGACTTTGGAGTCTCGCTGTCCTAGTCAAATTACTTCTCAGAGACTTCTCCTTTTTTTGTTTTTCTTTGTTTTTCCTTTTTATTTAATTAGTGTGCGTAGAAATATATGTACAATATATATTGTATTTGCAAAGGAAAACCTCATGTCTCTTAGCTAAAGGAAAAGTAGTCCTTGAACCAAATCTCAGCAGCTGAAACCAGTTTTTCACAGAACCAAATTTTTCTATTTTCAGAACATTGAGAGCCAGTGGTAGAAAACAAATGGATGCTGGTGTTCTAAGATTAGCTGCAGGGCTAATAGTAAAGAAATCTGATAAAACAATATCTTGAGAGGTAGTCTGGCAACGATGATGATAATAAAGTTACTCCTGGCAAAATTAACAGTATATTTGAACAGTAAACAAAGAATTACAATAAATAATCCTTTTACTTTACAATGAATGTATTTTGCATATAGACACCTATATATATACATATAGAGAACACTTTTGTCTTCCAGCTAATGCTAGCCAAGAATTTTAGGTTAGTTTGGCAGGCATGGATTTGAGAGCACACTTTGGAATTGCAACTAGAGCACTTTCAGAGAACATTTCAAAGTAGAGGGAAAGTCACAAAGTTAGCTGAAACTTATGAGTGAGAGAAGAAAAAAAAAAAGGCAACAGAAATGAGCCAAAATCTCCCATTTATATCCATAGTCTGTATAAATTGTCACAGTTCAATTATACTTGGGGCAAGCTGTAACTGTCTGATATACTTTTGAGTATTCAGTAGTTTCAGGAACTGTACTATTTGTTGGAATATACAGACTTATCTGGAAATGTAAAATACAGACAGGATTTTTTCCCAGCCTGGCAAACATGACCTGTGATGGTGTAGCTTACCATTTTGCCAATATAAACAGATTTTTACACTGCACCTCTGTAGAAATATTTTGTCTACGTATATTCCTATTCCTTGATGTTTTCAAGTCAGCAGATAATTTTTAGCATCAGGGAAACTGACATCTTTTTGAATACTGAGGTCCCTGATTTCCTTTTAGAAATGGGATGAGATTTAAAAATAGATGGGTAAAATGAGTCATCATGTTTGGACATTGAAGAGGCACTCAAATAATTCCTTTAGGCACTTAGAAGTCAATATCAGTGCTTACCTAAGATATTTTAATCCTTTTGCAAACTCTCTGTGTTTGAGACTTGGGTCAAAAATATGCTTAAACATGAATAGAAAGATATACAGAGAAAAATATATTGAGGACAAAGGATAAAATTTTCAGACCCATGTGGCTTCAGGGTCAAATAGAAAATATTATGGGCTGATAAGCTGGCTAGGATACTTTCACTTTCAGGAAACAAATTATTGATCACCTCTCACCGACAGTTGTACTCAAAATGGATATTATGCATTACTTTCCCTCTGTGAGGTCCACATCTTAAAGTAAACTATTTCCTACCTTTGCTCCTACTTGTCCAGGATACAGACCAGGTCTGCAGATTGGCCTGTTGGAAAAGGAGCTCACTGAAAAAGAGAAATGCAGCTGCAGTCATAATAGGAGATAACAGAGATGAAGGAGGGGAAAAAAGAATAAATTCTGGAGATTTTGTCCTTTTTAAAACAAAGTAGGCAAACCCAGCAAGTATCTTACATGTGCACTGCATTACTGGTAGCATAACCTATCTCCTTATTTTGGCTTTCTGTGCATTTGTTCTATGAAATAGCAAATAAAATTATAGCTACAACACACAAGTACAAGGTCAAATAAATGACAGTACTCAGTCTATTTGTGAAGCTATTCTGAAAAGGAACCATGGTGCCAAATGTGGTTTATTTGAATAATAAAGAAGAATTAGATTCCCCTGATAACTTGGCTGAGGGCCAATAAATCACTGGAGGTTAAGAATGCTTTGCAACTGCCATGTATTTCTTTTTGCTTTTAGGAAGCACAAGCCTCAACTACTGTGCTCTACCTGTTTTTCAATGCAAATCAACTGGAGGTTACTAGATGATTAAGGGATTGCTTGTGTACTCTGCTTAAAAATAATATAAAGCAATCTTGATACTTGCATTCATTCTCTAAGTCCTGCCTTATTTTGCCTCTGTGCTATTATTTAAATAAAATAGTAATCCTCATCTTTAAAAAAAAAAAAAAAAAAGCAACTGAACAAAGAAAAATGAGAAAGCAAATACAAACAACAAAAAATCTACCCTCACTCCCCCCCAAAAAACCCAAACCAAACCAAAAAACACTAAGCAGAAAAAAATAACAGCAAAAACCAGAAACTTCACAGGAATACTACATATTGTTATTTTATTATTTTTCGCAAATCTAGGCAATAACCAATTGAGAAAGAAAACTTGTTTTTTTTTGTGTTGTTGTCATTTTTTTAGCTTTTTGATTTTAAATTCTACTGTGTAGAATGATTATTTCTGCTCATTTAGTGAAATTGGTGCACTAGCATTAACGATTTTTTAATAGTTTGTCCCCCTTAAAATTAGGAAGCAAAAGCCTGGGAAATTCTGTGCTGTGCAGG